GTGTTAAAAAAAAAAAAAAAAAAAAAAAAAAAGAAAGGAACAAAATATGTGAAATGATCGACCCCCACCGAGTATACACTTAACCCCCATCCTCCCTTATCCCGCCCCAATTTCACGAAAAGGCGATTCCACAGAATAAACGGATAGCAGAAAGGCAGTTTGCCAAGAAAGCAAACGTAGGAAGGGGGAGTTCTGGGACACTTTGCACCCTTCCGAGGTCTCACTTAACTTGAGAGACCTAGCTGATCATCACCCTACTTCTTCGGTTTTTGTTTTTTGCATCGCTTTCCGGTTAAAAAGCACATTGTCCTTCCGTCAAAACTGTTGAAATTGAGAATTGTTTATAATCCATGGAATGTAACAGTGGATCTTTCAAGGAACTCACTTTCAAAACAAGGTCGCTCAAGATCAGGAAACTCGAACTCAACTGATGACGGCTAAGTTGAGGGATCCTATTTATCAGGTTTAAGCAGTTTTAACATCGCCCAATACTTAAACGGTGGCGTGTATTAAAAACAAGAACTGTCATAGGAAGAAAAAAAAATACAAAACAAGGCGACAGTAAAATCGAAGTAAATGCAATGGTCCTCACTGCTGTCACCACGCTGACTAAGAATGATTAACACACATCTACCGTATTTACCCGTGTATAATGCGCGCCCGTGTATAATACGCACCCTAATTTTTGACCTCTTTTTTCCGAAAAAAAAGATTTAATGACAAATACCAAGAATTAAAACTTCCATTTTTTCACTTAATTAACAAGAGCTGGGAATTCATCAATAATATGTTTACAACAATTTCTAACTAGTTGCTACTACAAATATCGCACGCACCGAGCACCTATTTACAAGCGTTTTTATTCAGTAACAGTCAAACGTTTTATAAATGTTGTAACTTGAAGTCCTTATTAATATACCTAAATTCACAACTTGAATTATTATCATAACAGCCGTTCATAAACATTATTTCTACTCACAGTACTGCTGGTAGCTTGAATATAATTACTGCATTGCAATTGCGTGATTTAAGTAAAATGTTCAGTGTCTTGAAACAACGAAACCTTCAAATTCCGACTCACAGTCCGATTCGAATAGGTTTCGATGACTGAATCCTCAAGTTCATCAGTGATCTCAGTTGAATTGTAAACCAATTCATCTTGTGATCCATTCGAATTGTTTGTGCACCCACACTTCAGAGAGAGGCAGCGATCATTTCTGATGGAATGCCTTCCCACGCTTGTGAAATATACGAACAGATCAGTTCCTCCGAAGCCTTTTTTTATCGTCCAGTAAGTTCGTGAATTCCATCAGCCATCCTCTCCTTTCGGACTCCATCTCTAAATGGTTTGTTCAAAGATACATCGAGCGGCTGGAGAAGGGAAGTTCGCGTTTGAAGGAAGTGTTCACAGTATCTGTCACGTGAGCCTCAAATGAGTCGTAAATAAGCAAGCTCTTTCTCCTCCCCAGGCCACCGATCCGTGCACTTTTACTTTCTTTGTTGCGTTTTTAACGTATGCAAATTAGGACGTGCTTGACAAACAATAGAATCCGTGTATAATACGCACCGCGATTTTGATGCTTGTTTTTATGGAAAAAAAGTGCGCATTATACACGGGTAAATACGGTATACAAAACTGATAAGGAATTAGGAAGCGAAACAAAACAAAACAAGTGAACAGAAAAAAAATTCTTACTATGGCTAAACCTATTGATGTTCGTGACTTTTTTTTCCACAAGTCACAACAATGACAAAGAAACTTGTTGAAGCAGACCGAAACTTCTTCCATTATAAGCCGCCCTGAGGCCAGGTTTTTAACGTAGTCATTCTCTTGTATTTAGTCAAGCTAGATTTTAATTCGTCCGAAACGTGTGTTGACGGCAAATAGAAAGTTTACTTTTTCTCTACCTATAGCAAGATTCGTATAAATTCACATTTTCTAAAGACGTGCGTGATTTTCAGTAAGATCTTATCAAATGATGAGATGCATATTCTTCACCCAAGCTATTTTGAACAAACGATTTCTTTCTAAGGGCAGCAAACTAAAACTTAAAATCGTCATTCAAAGGTTGGGTTCATGTTCCAAAAGATTTAATATGCATACTTGCTGTTTCAGCATTCATTTACTGAAGAAAGCAAGAGGTGCTTACTAGCTGATGGGGTTAAGGAACAGTCTCCGGTCGAACCAGAGAAAAACAAGGGCACAAGAGGCACATTCAATCAGGTATATGATTGGGTTGTGATTCATGATTTCTTGATTGCCTAGTTTAATCAGCTGCATTCAAAAAATGTCAATGCAAAGGGCCGTAAAACATACCCTGCAGTGCAGGTTTCTTATAGGGGAAGTTGACGTTAAGAGGCTCGCGATCGTTTACTCAACCGGCCATGTTTGATTTGGAGATAGAGATTATGGGGGAAGGGGGTGGTGAGAGGCGAAAAGACGCCGCCCGACGGGCTTTTGAAAAGCAAAACACCCCCTGATTACTTGTGCGTCACTGCTTTCCGGAAATTAGCACGTAACCAATCAAAATGAGTTAAATTGAAAACCGGAAGCACTGTCTTCCGACAAAAACAAACACACGTAGAGGCAATGAGCAAAACGGTGAGACCGTTGTTTCAGCCAGGAAAGACATGGCTTTGACAAAACCACCGCAGCGGTCACAAATACGAGCTGATATTTGTTGCATTCCATATTTTCCGAACGAAAATCCTTGAGTGTAGCCGCCATTAATCTATTCAACGATTTTTCTTCAATTTGATCGCAAACGATACTTTGAAGCAGAGAAACAACTGCACTCGAAGGTTTACTCGCCATAATTTGTTTGATGCAAATTAGCATATTCTGGTGAAATGGTGTGGCTGTTTTTATTTTTTAATTTTACTTTTTTGCAATGCTACAATGCTCAACTAAGCAATGTCAAGCTTCGAGCCTCCAGCCCCTATCGGTAACTAAACTGCGGTTACCTTTCTTATGTTTGTAGTTCTTTAGCGCAAAACAACAAATCAAAAGATGACATCGCAGGATCTGACATCGAACATCAAAGTCTGAGAGTAGCATAAATATATGTTAGTTGCCGGCTGGGAGGTCCGTATGGTGAAAAACTGTGACCGAGGTCTTGAAAATACTGCCCGAGGCCGTAGGCCGAGGGCAGCATTTTCAAGACCTCGGTCACAGTTTTTCACCATACGGACCGACCCTTAGCCGGTAAATAACATATTTATTTTTTTTAAACTCGACGAAATTCTTTCCGAAAGAACCCGAATGATCTAGGGCTGTAAATACGGCAAGATCTTCCACGAACTGAACAATTTTTGAGCGAGTAAATGGTGGTTAAAATAGAGGTGATGCAAGTTCAAGAGAGATGCCTCAGCGAAACTTTTTCATTTCCGTCACGATAAAGGTGATTTAAAAGGCTTCTAAACAAACTTTGAAACATTATTTTTACAACTATATGTCACAATCTGACACCTGTCAATTAGAGAGCGCGTAACAAAAAAATGCGTAAGAACATTTGAAAAACAACGGAAATAGTTTGTCAAGGACTGTCTCGACAATGTTTTCTTCAAAAACAGTCAATGATCTAACGGAAAGTATTATTCACTCTCATCGACGATTCATTCGCGTACGAAGATTTACCTCTGTTCATTAAGTAAACGGCGAGGAAAGTAATTGTGAGTAAATTCAAATTTTTTATTTTGAAGTTGTGAGAGTTTGCTCGTTTGTTTGCTGCAATGGCGTGTGTAAATCTCGTCTTTCCTTCACAAAAACTAAATTCGAATGGAACACTCCAACAAGACACAAGGTGATTTAATGCGGCCTTTCCTCAAAAAAGTCCTTCAGTTTCTGTCGTGCAATTTACGGTACAAATGTCCAAATTGAATGGACCTGGAAAGACTCACCGAGAGCGTTTATTTGTTGTAGAACTTCAATTAAAACTTCGCTCGCTCTTTTCACTACGAACAAATTGCTTGAGAAAATTCAGGTATTAAATAAATGAAAGTTCCATTGTTTAACTGTAACGAAATACCTCACGTTTTAACTTTCTAGGTACTTTTTGTGGACGATTAAAATAAACTGCAGACGGTTTTAAGGCCGCTTGTCAACCAAAGTAATGACGCTACTGTTTGTAAAAATTCATTCTGAAACCAATTTTTTTCTGTCAACCAAAGTGATTTGAGAGAGAGAAAAGAGAGGATTCATAAGTTATTTATTGCCTTGAGGTAGTAACCGACTTGTTTGCTTAAAAATACTGCCCAGCCGGAAAAACGAGATATATTTATGAAAAATGGCAACGAAATTTGGAATGTACTCGGCGATTCACGAAAGTGTTACCGTGGCCCGTGGGCAGAGATAGGAAAATACTGACCGGGTAAAGAACCAATCAGATTGCAGGATTCGTTACCGTGCCCTCTTAAAAAAAAGTAAAAACAAATACCTTGCTGAGGAAAATAAAAAAACAATTTCCAAATAAATAAGAATGGCTGAGGCAAGGGGAGTCAACCAATATATGGATCAACAAGTTAATGAATGCTTACATAAGTGATGAGATAATCAGGTAGGAATTTATGGTTTCAGTTTTGTGGCTTTATGCCCCTGAATGAGTCAAATTGAATAACTAACAAATTTCTGTAATGCAATGCAGTTATGTTTGCACATCGTAAGAATAGGCCATTCAGCGTGAGAGCTTGGGCCCGAGTAGCAAGTTTGCATCCCTCAGCTTATAGTTTGCTCTATTCTGGTGTTTTTCGTTTGTCATCGTTATTCAATTTTTGAATCAAGTAATCAATCTTCCCATTCCTTGCAACTGTTCTGAAATTGCTGTGGTTAAAACGATTTCCACAGCGATTCCTTTTGGCTATCTCGCCCTCCATTAAAGGATCATGCTTTTTAGTGGGTAACGTGACACTCTCCAGAACGACTGCGAAACAGACTGGTAATGCGTGGGTGAATGGGCTAACAATGGACAAAATTGTGATTTTTTTATAGGGCCTGACTAAAAATGGCCACTGCACTAGAATACTCTTCAGAGCAATTAAACTACTACAGGATTTGCTATGTTGTCACCGATGTACTAACAGAGGGCTTGCGAATAATTTTTAAACAAGAGTGGGACAATCGCTACCGGAGAACGTGGGGAGAATGGAAAGATCAACCTAACAATGGACTGGACTTTTGGAATGGCGAATCCTCGCGAAGCAGAAGCCGAAACACACGTCTGCTGACAGCCATGAAAAACGGTGACACGGCTGAATGGGATTGCACCATGCTGTTTTACGCCATTCTTTATTCAGACTGCATCCATGGCCTGAATTCAACCGTTAAATCACACGTGGATGACCTCAGGAAGTTGCGTAATGAAGACTTTGCGCATATGCCACGAGGACACCTTTCGGAAAAAGATTTCCAAACTGTGATTTTTAAAGTTAAAAATGCATTTGTTGCACTCGGTCTTCCCACACAGAAAATCCAAGATGTTCAAAATCAAACAAGTTTCCCAACGGAAGAATTGACAAATATCTTAAAGACGGTTGACGATCTTAATCAAGACCTTCAAGAGAATAAAAGGAAACTTCAAGACAAAGACAATGAGCTTCTCGAGAGGAGTAAGGAGCTGCTAGAAAAAGAAGAGCAGCGACAGGTCCTTGAGCAGCAGCTTCTTACATCTGTGTCTCCATTTTGTGTTCTTCCCCTAAAACCTACACACGACGTCACAGGCCGCGATTCTGAGGTTAGTAAAATTTCCCAACAGCTCAGAGCCCTCAGATATGCTAATAATGATGCTCTAAGCACCTTGTATATATCTGGAAATCCGGGAAGTGGGAAATCGCAGCTGGCCCGTTTGGTAGCCAAGCGATTTTACGACGAAGTCAAAGAAAATCCTTACACTACTTCATTTGTTATGACTCTGAATGCTGAAAATTCGGAAACGCTTTTGGAATCCTATGTCGTTTTCGCTCGACACTGTAAATGTCCAGAGTATGCGGTTACAAACACTCTCAACTCCACAGACCTATTTGCAGACGAAAAGGTTAGAAGTCTTAAGACGCTGATAGGCGCGAGAATTTCTTACTATACGTCATGGCTGCTGGTAGTCGATAACGTCTCTAATGTGTCTCAAATACATGGACACTTACCAGATGCAGGAGACGAACAGTGGGTAAGAGGCCAGTTGCTGATAACAACACAAGACGCTGTTTCTATCCCTTTGACAAATTCTGCAATCCAACATGTCTCAGTCAGCAAAGGAATGCATCCAGATGATGCCCGCTCGTTGTTAACACTCCTGTCAGGGGTGAATGACGGTGAAATGGAAGATGAAGTTGTACAGGCATTAGACTATCAACCTCTTTCCTTAGCGAGTGCCTCCCTCTATGTGCGACAAGTTCGGCAGAGTAAAGTATCTGTGAATTTTGGCTGGGGCGACTATCTGGAGAAACTTGTAGGCGGTCGACAAAATACGACAGAGACTATTCTTACTGAGACAAATCCAAGCTACAAGCAGTCCATGACAACAGCAATAACACTTGCAGTGGAAAAAGCGATGACGACCGACAGAGTTGTTAATCACCTGTTCACTTTTCTTGCTCTTTGTTCACCTCAGCCAATACCTCAAGACGTCGCTGTCAATTACATCATGGAAATGGATGAAGAATTTAGTGATAAAGAGTGGATTGCATCGAGGATAAATCGATGTTCATTGTTATTATCTGAAGAAGAAGGAGACAGCGTCTATATCCGAGTGCATGGAGTTGTTCGATTTGTACTTGATTCTTTAAAAACAAATTATGCAAAGGATTTATTCATCAAAGCCGTCGTTGGGGCTGTTGCATCATTTGCCAAGGTCGATGACTTTGATACCTTTATCATCGGCTCAAAAGTTGTTCCCCACCTAAGAAAATTGATCCTAAAGGATAAATATCTGTTTCCTGTACAAGAATTATCTCAATTCAGCAGAATGGGTGTTATTCCCCTACAAGATTATCTTAATGACCTTCCGATCCTCGGAGAAATGTGTCTCGACCATTGTGAATACGAAGCTGCGATGAATTACTTCGAAGTGGCCATGGAAATCAAACACTCATGTAACGCAAACGACACTCTGGGAAAAGCAAAACTGTACCTTTGAGTGGGAACCGCACACAAATATAAGGGTAACTTAGAGCAAGCGAAGAAGTACTGTGAAAGTGCACTGGACATTCTCCTAAAGCAGCTCGGACCTGAGCATGTAGATGTCGCAAAATCTTACAATAACCTGGGTATTGTATACAGTGGTCAAGGTGATTTCCAGCAAGCAAAGGAGTATTATGCACGTGCATTGGACGTTTATGTGAAACAGCATGGACCTGAGCATGTAAATGTAGCAACTTCTTACGATAACCTGGGTACTGTATACAGAAATCTAGGTGATTTCCAGCAAGCACGGGACAGCCATGCACGTGCACTGAACATTCGTCTGAAACAGCTCAGACCTGAGCATGTAGATGTCGCAGCTTCTTATAATAACCTGGGTACTGTATACAGAAATCTAGGTGATTTCCAGCAAGCACAGGACTACTATGCACGTGCACTGGACATTCGTCTCAAACAGCTCGGACCTGAGCATGTAGATGTCGCAGCTTCTTACAACAACATGGGTACTGTATACAGAAATCTAGGTGATTTCCAGCAAACACAGGACTACTATGCACGTGCACTGGGCATTCGTCTTAAACAGCTCGGACCTAAGCATGCAGATGTCGCAGCTTCTTACAATAACCTGGGTATTGTATACAGTGATCTAGGTGATTTCCAGCAAGCGAAGGACAACTATGCACGTGCACTGGACATTCGTCTTAAACAGCTCGGACCTGAGCATGTCGATGTTGCAACTTCTTACAATAACCTGGGTATTGTATACAGTGATCTAGGTGATTTCCAGCAAGCACAGGACAACTATGCACGTGCACTGGACATTTATGTGAAAAAGCTCGGACCTGAGCATGTAGATGTCGCAGCTTCTTACAATAACCTGGGTATTGTATACAGAAATCTAGGTGATTTCCAGCAAGCACAGGACTCCCATACACGTGCACTGGACATTCGTCTCAAACAGTTCGGACCTGAGCATGTAGATGCCGCAGCTTCTTACAATAACCTCGGTATTGTATACAGTGATCTAGGTAATTTCCAGGAAGCACAGGACTACTATGCACATGCACTAGACATTTATGTGAAACAGCTCGGACCTGAGCATGTACATGTCGCAACTTCTTACAATAACCTGGGTACTGTATACAGAAATCTAGGTGATTTCCAGCAAGCACAGGACAGCCATGCACGTGCACTGGACATTCGTCTCAAACAGCTCGGACCTGAGCATGTAGATGTTGCAACTTCTTGCAATAACCTGGGTACTGTATACAGAAATCTAGGTGATTTCCAGCAAGCAAAGGACAACCACGCACGTGCAATGGACATTCTTCTGAAACAGCTCGGACCTGATCATCTTGAAGTTGGAAAAATTTATAAAAATGTTGGTGACGCACACAATGCACAGGGTCATGATGGGGAGGCGAAAAGAAACTATGATCGTGCTTTGGCGATTTATGTTCGAAGCCTTGGGCCTGAGCATGTTGATGTTAGAATTATTCAAAATAAGCTGGCTCAACTACTGCAGAATACTCGGATGGCCTTTGTAGATTTAGACACGCGTGTTTGTCCTGTTACCTGTTCAATGTTTTGAATGTATTAGATTACCGATGTCAAGCTCAGGCAACTTATCGTTCAATAATCTTCACGCATGTGTACTTTCTTATCTCCTTTCAGTCGCAGGAGTTACAAAAAAAGAAGAAAGAAATAAATTGGAGGGCAATAGAAGATATTGCTAAAAACGTGCGTAGAGAGCCAGCTGCTCGAGGATACAAATTATGACCTTGAAGGCAACGTTTCGAGGAACGTTTTGCGTCCATTTCATTTAAGATTGCGCGATTCAGCAGCAAGGCCGCTTCTTAAGTTTCAAAATCCTGTGATTGAGAGAAAATTCCGAGACGCTGTTACGACTGTTTATTGATCAACGAACCGAGTGCAACCCGGGAAACACCCAGTTGCACGTTATAATTTATGAATATTCATGCCATCCTTCCCGCGCGAAGAAAATTGATTACGCTTTGAAAATAGCTGCCGTTCGAGGAAAAGTCGACGATCTTCCCGCGAGGTGCATCTCTCTGCTGCAAGAAGTTAAAGATCTCATTGAGGCACATAACAGCGGTTAGGAAAATGCGAACGAAACAGCTGCTTTCACGTTAAGCGAAAGACAGGCTCGGCCATTGTCTACAGTGCAACAACATTAGGGAAACGCCATCCAATAGAGAGTGATGCAGAATTGTCGATGACTCTTCGCTCCTTATTCAGCTGCCTGTTCCTCTTCTGCCTCTGCAAGACCTCCAGCGGCCAAAAAACCACGGACCTTTCAGGTCGAAGAGACTTGGACTCATACCTTTTTCTGCCTTGGATCCACACATGCTATTTCTGTCCCTTCATGTGCGCAAAAAATTGCCTTGCAGAGTGCTGAACTCGGACGCTGGAAAGTGGTGTTTTTCGTGTAAGGGAACTGCACTTGATGTAAAACCAGATTGGAAAGCGTGTACCCAAAATTGAAAACCGGTGGTGGGTTTGAATTGCTTTCGTTAATCACCCCTTCACAAGGGGGATATTCAGTAGCATTCTTGCGCGTCGCTGCCGGACTTGGCCAAGCACTGGCCTACATCAGGCCACTCCAAAAGGATTTGAACATGTTAAAGAATCTAAGTACTGAACAGGTAAGTGAATACAAGACCAGTTTAATTAAAACCCCCTGGATTAGTTGATTAGTTTCGAAGGGAGAAAGGGGCTTCCCCCAGCTGGAAAGTAAAGTTGCCTGATCCTACAGGCTGTAGGTTTTTTTGTAGTGTTTGAGTAAATATTACATGAAATTAAAACTACGTAATGAATAATTCATGTCTGTACTACAGCCACCTCCAAGCTATTTCCTTAAGTTATCAGAAGTTACTTGTTTGATAACAAGTGTTTTTGTTCAAAGGTCGAAGGTGAAAATGTGTTTAGTGTCAAGTGTCTGGAGTGTGGAGAAGATGTTGCTTTGGCCACCTTTAGGCAGCACTAGGCCCAAGGCAATGTCAGAACGCTGTAAGTTGTACTTGCATTCTTACATGTCATTGCACTGTTTACAGCTTTATATACTAATCTAAAGATAGAAATTGCAAGTTGACAGTTACTCGAGTTTCACACAGAATACAATCATCAGACTGTTCTGTTAGTGGCAGTGGAAATTAATTTAGACTAGACTCAGGGTATAGTCTGATATGCTTTGTGCGTGAAAATCTAGTAACTTACAGTTTCTAACTTTAAATTATTATTTCTCACTACATGTATTTGTATTGCACACTCCTACGATTGTGTGAAACCATTTGCATTTTTCTTTGGTTCAAATTTTATTTTCTTTTGTTTTTGGTATGGTTATGTATGATAACAAGTTTAAAACAAAGGATAACAAAATTTGAACTGCGAATAACATTGAACAACAACTTAGGCGATAAAAATATAATAGTGTTTATTGCGAAATTTCAGATGTGTTATTATGGTAAAAACCTATGTTTACATTAATATGGAATGTTTACACTGTTTCCTTTCATGTGAGAAGGGAATCTGAAACACTGACAGCAACTGAAAACTCTTTGGGATTGGTGGAGGTTAGTAACAATCTTTTGCTCTATAAAAATCAATTTAAGTTGTAACTTTTCCTGTAGCACGCCCTCACATGTATCGCAGGTTCAACCGATAACACTGTTTTCCAATACCATACAACACGTTTAAAATGTAAATCAAAGTATAAACACTCTAACTTTTGATGTAAAATAATATTAACTCTATCAGTGTACTGGTTGTTGCTATGTATCAGAATTTACACTGTTATGTTTCAAATGCCAGGGTACCTCTTCTGATGGTGATAAACTGAATGATGAATGTGATACGCTGAACACAATTTCAGAAGGTGAGAGGTCAATATTTTAAAGGAAGACAGTTTTAGAACATAAATTGATCTGTAGAGGATATTTTTGTTATCCGGCAACCACTTTCAATGCAGCAAACTTAACTTACCAGAATTTGGGTACTTTTGTCATTTTAAAATAGAGCACTGATGGAGAGTCAATTGATGGAAATTTTCCCTGGAGAAACTTCATAAAAAATTCAACATGCACTTCTGCAGGTAAGTTAGGATCTTTCTCGTGCAATTGATTGTGGGTTGACATTTGAGGCTGTCACTGGAACCGATCCGCGATTAAATTATATTATATTAATCATTATTACTTCCCATAAGGTCTAATGCTGTCTAAATTAATGTTAATCAAACCGCGGGCGGCTTAGCGTACTGTGGGTAATTTTGGGGTTGAAAGGTCATTCTCGGAAATACCTGATAAATTGACATTGAGGTTAAGCGTCAGCGTCTGCCTTAAAAAAAGAAAAAAGAAAAAAGAACTAAAAGGGTAATAAAAGCAAGAAATGTAACGCGTTTGGTCTCCTTACCCTTATTTAGTGGTTGCTTCCAGCCGTTTTAACGTTATTTTGTCGACAATTTTTGAACCTCATGTTCTCGTGCAATTGATTATCTATTGAATGGAGTGATGGATAAGAAAGGTTAGACTTAGACAAAGTGAATGATGAAAATAAATGTTGATTTAGGTTTACATAGGAACTTGTATGTTTTCTCAAATGCACTTGAGCATACATAATAAGGAATGTTGGGAGAAGACTTCAAAAGCTTGTAAATCACAAACCACAGATATGAGTTAATAACACAATTTAATTTATTGAAGAAACCCTAGGTTGCCCTCCCTTTCCATCATTGAAGAAAATTTAACAGTTGCCTTTCTTTCAAAGACACCAAACAAAGTTCTGACAGAAGCAGACACCTGTTTTAAGGTGTTGAAGATGCCAGAATACCACACACCGAGTATGAAAATTTTGTGGAATACATGGATCTTTCCATTTCACACGGTAAAGTGTGGGGTTTGGAAAGGTCTAGATACATGATCAGAAGTTTCTGATGGACAGTGTTCTTTGATAAATGTTTTGTTTGGTTTAGACCATATATATTACAATAAATTCCATGGGAATACTCATTTAATTTTAATAGTACACATTACTGACTAGTTTTCAATGATTGGTTTTTACTTCACTGTAGCTTATATTTTCCAATCTGAAATCATTGCTTTTTTTCCGTTATTTTTTGTGGAAATTTGTGTGCTACTTTTTTGGCCTAAGTGATTATGTTTCATGCTACATGTTGAAATGAATTCCAGTTCATATTTATCCTTCATATTATAGCATGTATCCACACATTCCTGCTTTTGCAAGTGTGCAAAGTTCCCAATAATTTTATATTGTTAATATACATACAAACAGTCAATCAGCAGCCATCGATGAATGTTACTCATGTTGATTTCATTAAATACAAGAATTTAAAGCTTGAAGGTGTTAGAAATATACTTAAAAACCGTAACTATTCTCTTTATTTATTAATAAAAGTGAAACATGTAATAACATCAATTGGTTGTTATATGTGGTAGGCCAAGCCTAGGTACTGTTACAGCTGAATGAGTATGTTTATATAATACATTTATGTCGATGTGTCGGAGGTCTATTAGGCTCGCAGCTTAGTTGACTATACCAAGTCTTGGCGATTCTATCAAATTTCCGTCATGTTTCCGGAACGGACATATCAAATCATGTTTCTGTCATATCTAAGTCAGGACGTTTCCACTGTTGAATAAAGGGGGTATTAGTTACTAAAGAAACTGTGGTGCTGTGTCGGTGGGAGAGTATAGCAGGTAATTTAGTGACGAAGGGCTAACGCTCGAAACGTCAGCTTTTTTACTCTTTATGGTGGCCAATTTATGTTTTTAACTCAGTTGTTAACACTAAATTACCAACGTTTCCGCTGTTGTTCGTTTCCGTTATGTTTCTGCAAACGGATTTTTAATATCCTTGTTGAATCTTTATAAAGAAAACAAACGGATCGTGGTTTTGTGCATGGTTTTTACTACATTGACGAATTTGAAACGTTAGGAAACTGCACTTATATATCAATGAAATGATAAATATAGATTTTCAGAACAACTATCGTGAGAGAGTTTGTTTATGAATTCGTAACTCCGGCTGCTGATACGACTTGCAAAGTGATAAAATTAATATTATAACGCAGCATGAAATCGCCACTTTATTGTTCTTCACTTCTTGCATAAAAAACAAATGCCGTGTTCCATAAACATGCGTTAACACAGCGGGAGCGAGTAGAGTGCAATTCAGTCTATAATCATACGAGTGTTTAACAAAATCGGGAGACCGCGGAGTGGAAGTCCGATTCGTTGATCACGATTTGTTAATAACAATAGTGTATTATGCATTTGTTGTCGAAATTAACTTTGGGCAATTTAAGGGTTGAAAGGTCATTAACGGAAATACCTGATAAATTAGAATTGAGTGTAAGCGTCAGCGTGCGCCTTGGAAAAAGAAGAAAACAATAAAAAAAGAAGGAAACTAAAAGGATGATAAAAGCAAGAAGTAGAAAATGTTTACTCTCCCTATCCTTATTTTGTAGTCGCTTCCGACCGTTTTAACGTTATTTAATCTGAAAGCGCAGAACAATAGTTATTCCTGTCTTTGAATGGAAAAGTCTTCCTTCAACTAAACTGGTTGCTAAATGGAGAAAAACACATGGCACGAATAGATATGTAATTTCCCTTCGCGCGTTAATCTCGATAGATCGCGAGTGAGCGCAGCGAACGAGTGAGATGTCAAGTTTAACACGCGAAGAGAAATTTCATATCTACGAGCATACATGTATCATTTTGTTTATCATATAAACACAATAGCCCTTTACTGACAAGAAAATTCGATTTCATTAATGAATGAAAACAAAAGGATCGACAATTTGCGAATAAAAATCGCAAAATGCCTTGGCGCTAAGGCTTAAGATGAAAAAAAAGGCGTTGAAACACTACAAAAACAATTAATAGGCGTAATTTCCAATATACAAAATTCTCAGTTATTGACTTGGTCCTTAATTACCGACAGAAGAAATCTTTCAGGTGCACCACTAAAATAGGCCTGTGGTTAATCTTTCAGTTGTCGATTTTTGTTCTCAGCCGCGAGAAATGCCATTACCAAAGCCACTTAATACTAATATTCGGTTTTTCTTTCCGTATTTGGAAAGTTTGAACATCACTCAGTGTGTGTGTAAGTGATACGGATTTTTCAGTGTTTTAATAGCCACAATCCGAGAAAAATTCCGGCAAACGACCTTGGACTGAGAATGGCGAAGGGTTTGCCGCTCACTAATCAACCTGACCGAGTGGTGCGAAAGGTGAGTGACGTGTCAGCAGCTGATTGGCGATATCAAACACACGTGAAAAAATACGATTTTTTTTCGCGTGTGTTGTTACGGCTTTTCTCAGGACTGGAAATCCTTTTATAACACCGTAGTTTATATCGATTTATATACAGCCTTTCCCTCGAACAGGCAAACTGCAAGTAGTTTTTTTTTTTTGTAATCATAAATACAATAAGCTTTTTTTCGCTTGTGGCCTGTCAATTGCGGAACGCCGCTTTCGTATTTAGCAAAACACAAGCATTCGTTAATCTGTTTTTTGAGTAAGAACAAAGCGATATAGTCATCATTCGGTATTGGCCGTTGGCAAATGCAGATTGATTGCCATTGAAATGCAATACAACCAACAGGCGAGGGAAATAACACTGGTCGCTTTTGATACTCGTCACGTTACTATTGCATGTTTGTCTACGATTGGGAATA